AAGATGGTGATGTTTGTGGTTGTGTTCAAGGCTGACTTCTTGCACAGGTCATTTGGAAAGTGTCAGAAGCAGCCCCCTTGAATACAGAGGCCAAGGTTTCCTGCTAAATTGTCTAGCACTCAAATTCCAGCTGCTGCAAAATCCCGTGCACTCCATGTCTGGGAAGTAGACACCTCCTTTCTTCCAACAAAGTTAGTTTCTCCTCTTCATCCTTTGTCACATCCGCAGTTTCTGCAGAAATCCGGTTTATATCCTGCCCACATCACTTGTGCCTAATGCATTTTAGGGCTGCAGAGATGTGCACCATTGAAAAATGTGCAAATAAGACAGGGTTGAATAGTTTGTGTGGGGGTGTCCCAGCTGGTTCACCCAGTGAAAGCCTTTCGTCTGTTGGTATCACCTAGTCTTCTGGGGAAACAGGCCATTCTCTTCAGTTCTTTTTCCCATATTACCAGGGGGAAATAGGAGGGATAGGAAAGGAAAAGGAAAAGGAAAAAAAGGGAAAAGGAAAGGGAAAAGGAAAAGGAAAGGGGAAAGGAAAAGGAAAACTCAAGGGCTGCTTCCTTTCTTTGTCATGCACTGTAATCAGCATTCATCTGGGCAGGGTGCTATGCTTTCTGCAGGAATTCGTGCTCTGGAGGGGTGTCCTCCGGGGCTGATCTCCTGGTAATTCCAGTCTTGCCTACACTCCTGAGGTCGCCTTTTCCTCGTAACAGCCACAAAAAGGCTGTGGATAAACTGAGACTGAAATTGCTTTATCGTGTGCCGTTTTCTCCAGGTGTATTGGCAAGAGACATGGCAGTAGTCAGCGAGGATGAGGAGGGTTGTTGTCATTGTAATAACTGCATTTGTGACAAAGGATCCATTGGAAGCAGGAAATCCCCACTGCATGCTCAGTAATTTCAGAGATGTGTCATTTAGGCTACAGGGCCGTTTGCACAGGTATCTGTTCTCACAGCAGCACCTCGCACGGGCTGCAGAGAGCGCAGCTCACTTGGCAAGGGGAAGAAGTACTGTGGACCTTGCTGAGATTACATCTTTGGTGTTAAAGCACAAAAACGTGTCTCCAAGACAGAGCCTGCCTTGCAGTGGAAAGACGCTGCCTTCTGTAAATATGTGCATTGTGATTAGAAGTGGATGTGCAATTGCAGTGGAAACTGCTAGAACCAGATGTCGTGACTGAAAGGAGGGAATCCCTCAGCATCCTGAAGAGACTGTCAGCTGCTGCTGCTGCTGTTCCTTGGCACCCCGTGATCCTCCTGTCTCTTGTCACTTAGGTGGCTGCAGCTGCATCAGGATGTGCTTTGCCTTGTTTCATCCTGAGATTTTTCTAGCATCCTGAAGACAGTGGTGTCATCCGAGTGGCGGCACTGAAGAGCTCTTTTCAAAGAGGGTAACTCGATTGTGTCTTTACCAACTCAACAAAAAGCCTGGACTGACTGGGAGTTGTTAGGAGAGTAACTATTAGGGATCTTTGCTCTGCTGATGGACAGAATACCTCAACCAAGAAAGGGGTGCTCTTTGCCAGGTTTTTTTTTTATAAGTTGCCAAGTTCTCTTTTGATTGCCTATTATTTGGTTGGAGGATGCAGTGGTGGTACACCTGTAGAAAGGAAAACCTGATAGTTTGATATTTCAGATTGCTTAACTCATCTAGCTCAACATTAATAAAGAAAAGTTTGTGCAGTCTTGCTCACCACCCAAAGTTTGAAAATTAATTAGTTATGCTATGCCTTAACTTCTGCAAGAGTTAAAAGCTTTCAGTCAGATTAGTGAAATTATGATGTAATTGTGAATAGTTCCATGTAAATTTGTAAAGAGACTGTTAAACATGAAAGGAGCAGTGCTGTGGACAAGAGTATTAGAGATCATGCAGCATTAGTCTGCTAACCCAAAGCGACTGTAATTGATGAAAGTGATTCTGACTTCTTAGCACCCCAAACATCCAGCTCCTCCAGTGTCAGGGGGCAGCTCTTGCAGAACCAGGAAGAAGTGAAGGCAGCCAGCTAGGTAGCTAAATTGTGAAAAGCTTCCCAATGACAGATAGGTTTCTGCATAGGGACGATCTCTCGGTAAGCTCAGGACTGGGTATCACGTTCTAAGAGAGAGAACATTAGGGAGGAAGGTTTGCTTTGAGAAATCAGGGTTTTGCGAGAAGGCGTAAGATGTGCCTTTTGTTGTTGGATTTCTTTCTGTGATTTATGACTTTTTTTATTTTTTTGCTGCTTGTTGATACCCAGTCTACATGGTCAAGGCTTTCTGATCAGAATTATGCTGTCACTCTGCATGACTGACAGTCAAGTCATCTGATCCAGTGTATACTATGGGGACTTCACCCATCAAAATGTGTAACTCTATCGTTCAATTAGTATGAGCCTGTAGTGACTTAATCTTCCCCAGAAGGATTTTTATAGAACTTGTGCAATTATCCTCTTGCAGTCTAATAGCCATCTCTCCAGTCGGCATGGAAGCTCTCTAAGATGTCATGATGCCACCACCCTGAGAAGGGAGCGTAACTGATAATTTTCTGGTTCAACACTTCATCAGAGTTATCTAGAGAATCTTTGCTCTACTTCATCTTTGTCTGCAAGAAAAGGCAATTTGAAATACCAGACGGGTAGTCTCCACAGATAGAATGCCAGTACATTTCACATTGATAGGAAATCAAAAGCATTTTTGTATCTTACCTGTCATGAAGTTCAGAGAAGGGCACTGTTTTGAGAGACCATTTCAGGAATGTTGCGGATTTCCTCCCTCCTCCTCTCTTCTCTTACTCTTGAAAGGAAAGATTATTGGTATTAAAAATCACTTACATAGCCTCTCTGGAAAATGAAAGCAGAAAGGGAAGTCACCAAGCTCAAACACTGTACATCAGCATCAGCAGGTGCCCCTTCAGAAGCGGGATTTTTTTGAGTTCGTGCCAAATGGAGCTTTGTCACTTCTACTGAGGCATCAAGACTCCTGACACAGGATGGGGTGTTCTACGTGCTGGTGTTCACGTGCACCACGCAGTCTCAGTGCATGGGACCTGTCTGGTCCCCCTACCTCTCCTGCCCAGGCCCCTCTGGTCGGTGGCAGGTTCTTGGTAGCAGTATCTGTCAAAGCAGACTCTCTGTGTTAACAAGCGATGGGTTGTGTCACCTGGTGGGTTCCCCAAATGGGTCAGTTTGGGAGGCAATCCCTTTGTCCAGTGCCAAGTCTTTCAAATATCATTAGGCTGCCAGCATTTCCTAGGTTCTTCTGAGTTGTGGCTCACTAGTGGCATGTTTATAAACTTACCTTCTTGTACATGGGTTCATTTTCCTGTCTTGCACACTTAGCAGCCTGTTCAGGAGTTTCTCACTTGGAGCTCACTGGTAGAGCAATGTCACTTTAGCAGCTGTTTTGCTCCAAAGGCAAAAAACTCCTGACCAGGCTGCTAAGTTTCTAAGAGGGACTCTTTTTTGCCCAAAAGGGTAAGTTTCTAGACGTGACACGGATGTCTTCCTTTCAGTGAGATTCTTCCTACAATCAGTGAAGAACATGCAACTACAACAGGGTTTCTCTGAGATTTTTGGCCACCTCATCTCAGGCTGGGTATGCTCCCAGGGTGAGTTAAAAAGCTTTTCAGGACCCTTTTTGCAGCAAAGCTGTAACTCCAAAGCCTGGAATAACTGCAGCCTCAGTGCCTTTTGTTGCATGCAGACTCCGTGCAGGCAAGGAGGAAGCCACCGGAAAGCAGGCTCCCTTCCACTCCTGCTCTGCTGGAGAACTGTACTCGCGCAGCAAAGGGGCAATCAGGTCCCCTGTGGACCAGTGTTAGTAATCACCGTGGAAGAAACTTTTGCTAGGTCAAGGTTGCTGCAGCTTGACTATGGGGCATCAAAGAAACATGCCTGGGCAGGTGCTTCTGCCCACACGCTGTAAATCTGGCAGCATCCCATTGCTGCTGGCTCAACTCGTGCTTTTTTTACCTTGGTTCCTTATGCTTAGGTTTGCACCACATTTGTCACCTTGTCCCCACAGGGTAATGTCCAGCTGACATTCTCCTGGTCACCTGAGCAGTGGCCTTCTAGAAGACTGGTATTTGAGTTGAGAGATGCAGAGTGGCCAGTGCTTACAGCTCTTTCTGCATTAGATATGTGACATTATGTTTCCGAAGTGCCAGCCCACCAAGATTTACACTAGTTCGTCTGGCTAAAGTGTCACTTTCTTTGATTCATGAAAGATGAACATGAAAATGAGCCTTTTTCAGCTCCCTGCAGTGATTTCCAAAATCTCTTGTCGTTTCTCATTTCTTGCATTCAAGTTCATGCAATAGTGATGGAGGCTGTGACATAGTCGGTGGAGATTCCCCTGGTGTTGGTAATGAGGACACCGGTTAGCTAGTGCTGTGCAGGCAGGAGGAGACAAAAATAATGCTGACTTTGTGACGCTGGCTGGGGCGGCTTCCCCAAGCGTTGGTGCTGGCAGGGCAGCTGCAGTCACAACCTGCAACCTGCAGAGATAACCCTGCCTCTGAGCTGTGCTCCCGCTTCTCTCCTGTTTGATTTTGGTGCAGACATAAGGATTTGGGTCTCTCAGCCTCTCCTTGGTGTGCTGCTAAAACAGGGGTTTAGTGCCCTGGTGAGCCTTTCAGCAGGGCAGGGAGGGTGGTGTACCGTGGCCACAGTCCGAATCCTGAAGTCCTCTGGTGTGGACACTGCAGGAGGGCAGGCTAACTCCTGTCGTCCTGTCGCTGTGGGTCCACAGCAGAGCAGAATGGGTGTATGAACCCTGATGAATAGAGTACAAGTGCCCCCAGAGCTGGCCCCAACTAGAGAGCCCTGTGTAGTAGAGACCCCAGGGTGGGTCACCAGAAGCCTTCCACCACAAGTGCTGGAGGCCTGTGTTGAGGAATTGCCCTGCTGTGACTGGGGGAAGTTTTATGGGTGGATGATCACAGCCTTGGCCCATGGCAGAGGAGAAATCGTGATATCGTTAACCGGCTCCTATACATTTCTCTCTCCCTTGCTATTCCAGAGTGATTACTCAAGTGACACCGAAAGTGAAGACAATTTCCTCATGATGCCACCAAGAGATCATCTCGGCCTCACTGTGTTCTCCATGCTCTGCTGCTTCTGGCCATTGGGAATTGCTGCCTTTTACCTGTCTCATGAGGTAATGTTAAACATCTCCTGAGCTTTGCATCCACGGAGTAGCCATCACCCTACACCAACAAGGAAAGTTCACCAAGACCTGAATGTGGGCAAGATGCTCTCCAGGGTGGTGGGAGGTGATTAAACAGGTTAATGTGTTCCCCAGCTTGGCATGTCTCTGTGACACCGGTCGTTGTCTTGTGAGATACTTTGCTGAGGGAGAACTCTACAAGATATTTTAGGTTTTAGCTGACAATGGTCAGGTTCCATGTCAGGTTACACAGTGTCCAGCCAGGGAATTTCTGTGGACATGACTTCTGAGTGGAAAACGCCCTTGCTATATCTCAAACATTTGAATTTCGTATTGGGAAAACTGATGTACTGGTTCCTAAGCTGATCATCTGTAAAAGCAGACCAGGTAATATCCTTCCAGGAGCAGAAAAATAATTGCTGTTCTGTAGAAGTGAATTTGATTTCCAGGAATCATTTCCTTTCACCCTGAAAAAATGCTCAGCCTGTTCTTCTTATCCAATTTTAATATGGGATTTTTTTTTTACCAGAGAATTGACAGTGTTTTGGTTTGTTTCTTTCATGAGAGGGGCTTGCTGGTTTCCAGCCTGTGCCTAAGAATCACCTCATGCCCCATCATTTGTTTCGACAACTATGTCTTTGTAAGTGCCTGCAGAGTAATTATTGAGTTTCCCAGCATGGTAGATAATGTAACGTGACAGAAGAAGAGTCACACTGGAAGTCTCGTCAGTGACTGAAATGAAACATTCAGTTATATTGCTGTCTACTGGTGGTAGCAATGCCTATTGCAAACTACAATCTATACTCCACGGCACCACGATCATTCACCCGTTCGCCTGTCTTTCTAATTTGCCTGCTCTAAACATCTGCCAGCGCTGGGTATTTGTCAAGCCAGAGCAGGCGCTTCAGATCTGAAGAATCCTGGTCTTCAATATTAAAGAAAGAGATACAGCACTACTATTTTTTTGCTTTAAATGAAGTTTCTGTCATTGAACTTGGAAGCCTCTGAGACAATTAAAGTTTGTCCAGTAGAAAATAACAAGTTTTCTTTTTTGAGCGCTATTGATTGCTCAAGTTTGGGTCAAGGCTGATGACAATGACAGCAAAAAGTAAAGCATTGGATGGGAACTGCACATGCTTTACTATCCTGCCGTGTAGTCCTTCAGGCAGAGCTGTTCATCAGCAGTTTCAGTGGCCACATCTGTTCACATACATGGGCTAGGCAGGATTTCTCACCAATGCTGCAGCCAAGGAAGAGTTGAGACTTTATTATTAGCATTGTGTTTGCTCTGTGCTGGGAAAAATAGTGCATTCATTAATTTGCTGCAGTAGCATTCTTTCAGGAGGCCTAGGGATTGCTAGCGAGTTTTATCTAAACAATGAAAGCACAGCACAGTCCAATAAATGCAAAACAAACAACATAATTAAGTACTAAAAAGCAGTAAGGCTGAGAAGCTAAATGTGCTGAGAGCCAGTGTGCGAAGGACAGGGCATCCACATTAGCCCTTAACTGATCCCAGGAGCCAGCATGGATCCATAAGATCCTACTACCTCGATAGGAGCATAAGGAAGGTGGAAAAGGGCACACGAAGACAGCAGAAGATGATGATATTGTGCTGAAGGATTTAGGTCCTGGAAAATGGAAACTTGGGTGTTGGTTTGGTTTAGCATAACGATGGCGAACTGCTGAATGTGGCTGCCTAAAGCTAGGAGCTGTCAGAAAGAAAGGTCAGGCAGGTGCTTTGCTTTTATTAGGTTGAGAGGCAGGAAATTAATCTTTGTTAACTGACCCCTTGGATTCACCAAGGCAAGCTGTGGCTAAATCCAGCTGGAGGAAGGGCTGTGTTTCTGAGGAATTCTGACTTCTAGTTTTTGTTTTTGCATTGGAAGTAAAAATTTTTTCTTCTCTCCCCACTAAAAAACGATAATAATAATTCCACCCCTGCATGCTCCTTTCCCCCCATCTCTCCTCTTAGGTCCCTCCAACAGCTGAATCAGCTGACAACTCCTTTCCCAAATCTCTCGTAGAAAGACATTTAAGTCCCTGCTTGTCCTAGTTCTGCACAGGCACGCCAGTCTGTCCACTCCCCGAGTTCCCAGGCAGATACCTCCACTGCCTGCCTTCCCCTCCAGCAGGTCCATCACAGCCCTGAGAAACCACCAGCTTGCACTGAACCTGGCACTTCTGCAAAACCCCATGGCCAACACAATGGCATTTTGCAGTGGACAAATGAAGCTCAAATTAAGGTCAAAACCTTCTATGGCTGAGAACTGGCTAAAGTATCTGGTATAAACCACCAAAATCCTGCAAGTAGCTAAGCTAACACCAACAGTGGTATCGACTCATACTTTGGAGCCTGAACCATTCAGACTTGTGTTTTATATGTGAGGTAGTAAAACATTATGTCCTATTAGCAAGTAATTTCTGTTTATATAGGGCTTTTAACTTAAACTCCTGAATAACATTTGAGATCTCTTGTTAATACAAAAGGGTAGTCTAACCTTCCCCATCCTTTATCAAAAGTCAGAGCTAGAACTAAAGATCAAAACTTGGCACGTGCATTCGAATCTTTTTTTGCAGTTGCTCTTGAACATTTCGTGTTTTCAATAGTCTCCTGGGTAGCCTAAAAACGGCCAGTCTGGGAAAAAATTGTAACACGTAGTAACTTCAAAGGTGGTGGATGGATTCATTGTGCCAGAATTTAGCACTTGCGGTGAACTTTTTTTAAAACTCTGGTCTCCTTTAGGTGTGCAGTGCATTTATGGATGAAGGCCTGGTTTGTAGAAGATGTATTTGCAGTGCAGCTCGGTCCAAAGGGACAGGTGCTCTCAGGTTATTCCTGCAGCACCTGGCAGTACATTTGCACTGTATATGTCTATGTCATGGTGCAAAAGAACTATAAAAGGATCAATGTTGTGAGGTTTCAGAAGTGCTCTTTACCAATAGAAGGATTATTTTTCCCTGTGTTCCATAAAAGCAGCGTGTTTCCTTGCAGGGACTGTTTTTGCTCTGTGTGGGTCTTAGTTTTTCCACCAATGCTCTTGCCGATGTGCTGCTGACTTAGGGCTTCTTGGAGGCCATCTGTATCGAACAATGCAGCTGTCTGCCTGTGTGGTAGAAATGAAAATGTGCATCAGGTTTAGCTGAGCCAGCAGGGAGGAACAGTGAATTCAGAAATGCGCTCTATGAAACCGAAAGCAGTTCCTTTCCACTGGGATATCCGATTTTCACGAGTAGGGGATTGCCTGGTGATCTTCCTATCCCAAGCAACGCTGAGAGTCACTGCTTTTCACCTTCCCTCAGTAAAACAGAGAGCCTGAGGCCATCACTGTGTTATATGCTTGCTCATTTACTTGCTTCTGTTTTGATCTGTGTTTTCCCTCCCACAAGAGAATTACACCCACTGCTTGTGGCTGCCCAGTCCTGCCCTGTCTGTCAGCTACCAGTAAATCGCTGTCAGGACTGGGACATTTTATTCCCCCATGTGTCCCATCTTCCATCATGCTTGCTTGTCCAGACCGTGAGATTGGGCTGTGACTTCCATTGCCTCACAGGCACAAGGTGTCCTGCTGGTCACACTGGCATCATGCAGAGCGGTATCCAGGTCCCTGTCTCACCTCAGCTGTCACAGCTGAGCTATGGGGGCTTTGCGTGCGTGAGCTGTTCGGGTGACTTGTCCAGAAGCCACTGCTTTAGAGTGACCTCTCAGGAGGGATAACATCTCTGAGTACTCTGATTTTTAACAGTAGACAGTGTTCATTGGCTAATTTGCACTTTTTTAGAAACAGGGCATATGAGTTCTTATGCTTGCAATTTTTTTTTGATTAGCTGCTTTCCTAACAGCTTATAGCAGAGTCTGAAGGGCTCAATTAGAGGGGTTTTCGTGCAGTTTCCAGGGAGGCCTTTGCAAGAGGAAAATGTAAATATTGTATGCCTTTCACTATAAAACTCTCCTCCACAAACAGTGTTTGATCAAAAAAACTCATAGTGTTTATTTTTTCATAAATCTCCACCCTCTGGAGTCGTGCAGGTATGTCAGTTTTCATTTTTACAGAAGTTTTTAGTTTTGTAGATTGTAGGCAACTCTGAAGCTTCATAAGGCAGAGAAAGAAGTTTAAAAGAAATCTTTTTGTTTTGTCAAGTTTACCGTTAAACTTATCAGACAATTTGTCGGGACCTGTCGGGATTTCTGCTTGGTGGGGGTTAATAATCCTGCAAGGTGTTGTTGTCTGAATCCTCTTTTTCTCCCTGCATTTATTTTTAGGAAAGAGAGCAATACCATGGCATACATTTCTATCCTTCCTGTAAAAAGAAATTCATTATCAGAGACCTAAATCTGTGCTGGTGTGAGTGAGCTGTACTTTGTACCTGCTCTCTTGTGGGACGCGGGTGTTCACATGGAGCACTTCACACCTGGTAAGTCCCCACCAAAGTGTCCAAGAGATGCCAGCTGGGCCAGACAGAAACAAGAGTATGCAGCACACCTCTGTCCAGCTTCCATGCAACCTCCATGGAGCTGTGTCAGGCTGGCATAGACATACACCTGAAAAATCCCACTGGACACTTCTCGGCATGCTTAGGTGCCCACATAGCCTCCAAACCCACTTTCCTCTCTGGCAGCGTGTGAGACCTGCCAGGCAGCAGACTGCAACCCAAGCACACGAGAGCAATCGCTTCCCATCTGCTGTGCTTGCTCCGCGCCGTAATTACCTCCCTCCCACAATGATCGAGGGATGCGCGGCTCTGTAATTATTTCTCCAGCCCATGGATTGCTTGAGTGGGCACAGCTCCAAATACCGTCGCTTGGATTATCTTTAAAGAAAAGTAGGGACTGTGCACTGGGTAAAAGGATTTTCTCCAGTTTTCATACAGACTTGAGGCATATGTGATCAGGCAAAGGAGTAGCTTGGCTTTCTTCATGAGAACTTCTGAACCATTTGGTTACTTTCTGTCCAGTTTTCAGGGATGGAGGCTTTGAAAAAACTGTATTT